TATCCACTGAACTAAGTAATGAGGAGGCCGAGACGGCGGGTCATGGAGTGGAGAGAATGGAAACGAAGCTATGTTAGATGATGAAAGTGAGTAGCTGAGTAGCTCTGATGGCCTCCAACATTGATAAACCATAAATGAGTTGTGTAAGTTTGAGTTGGTGTGTTTGAGGTGGCGATGAAACTGGCTGATGCGGCCGATGTTTCTAGTAGTGATGGATCAAAGCGTGCAGGGGCTGGCTCGATGGAGTCCACGTCCGGTCGACGCTTGATCAGGTTGTGAAGATGGACGGGCTAGCTCGGTGGAGTCTATGTCCGGGTCATCGTTCACTCACATGAGTTTGGCTAGTGGAGATGGACGGGCTAGCTCGGTGGAGTCTATGTCCGGGTCATCGTTCACTCACATGAGTATAAGTAGTGGAGATGATGGGGCTAGGTCATTGGAGTCTACGTCTCGATCATTGTTCACTGATATGTGTGTGATGATGCTCTGCAGATTGGTCAGACGAAAGTTGTCGTCCGGGTCAGATCCATTTACGTTGGCTGACTTGTCCTGGAACCTCTGCAGATTGTGGTAAGACGAAAATTGTCGTCCGAGTCAGAGCCATTTACGTTGGCTGGCTTGTCCTGGTTGCTCTGCAGATTGTGGTAAGACGAATAGTGTCGTCCGGGTCAGATCCATTTACGTTGGCTGACTTGTCTTGGAACCCCTGCAGATTGTGGTAAGACGAAAATTGTCGTCCGAGTCAGAGCCATTTACGTTGGCTGGCTTGTCCTGGTTGCTCTGCAGATTGTGGTAAGACGAATAGTGTCGTCCGGGTCAGATCCATTTACGTTGGCTGACTTGTCTTGGAACCCCTGCAGATTGTGGTAAGACGAATATTGTCGTCCGAGTCAGAGCCATTTACGTTGGCTGACTTGTCCTGGATGCTCTGCAGACTGTAGTAAGACGAATGGTGTCGTCTGGTTCAGATCCATTTACGTTGGCTGACTTGTTCTGGATGCTCTGCAGACGGTAGTAAGACGAATGTTGTCGTCCGGTTCAGATCCATTTACGTTGGCTGACTTGCTCTGAATATTTTGAGTATCGTGGTAAGACGAATGTTGTCGTCCGGGTCACATCCACCAAAGGACCGACCTGTCCAATAGTACCTACTAATTGGGAACAGTTAACCTACATGCTGTTAAGTGACAAGGCGTTGTCGTCCGGCTTAATTGCTACGAGATGCTCGCCTTAAGTCTTAAGTACCATAGCACATTTTGATGATTGTAACTAGTCGTTTGTCAGGATGCCGAACGGAATAGACACAACTGTAGTTCATTGATCCGAGAACCGCCCGAGGACGGTCGAATGTCAGTCCGGCCGTGACGGCGCATCCGTCAAAAATCATACGTCAGGTTGACTTTTAGCTGTCTGAGGTTAGCCTAGTGAAGCGTCATTGTGATGGTAGCGAGGGCGGCCATCTTAGTGTGGTTCGGGATGACGCCCGCGCACCGCGCTCGTGACGAATCGCTGTGTATCGAAGTGATAGTGATATCTAGTGTTTCGATTGAGTTGGTGTCGTATTGAATAGACTGTACTTTATCCCTTTCAAAGTATGAGTTCCCATGAAGGCCCTCCTGTTCTTATAACGCCCTCCTACAAATATTTATTTATTGTTATTATTTTTTAAATATCGATATTTTTTATTCGAGCCTATGCCGCCCTTTTAATAAATAAAAATTATTAGTTCCTCGTGGAAATTTCTTCCGAGTGGATTACTTTTTGGTTACGGTTTTATAAAATTGTGTTGTTTTATAAAATGTACTCCAACCAGGAATATTTCAATATGTTAATGTGTTTAGGGAAATGTGATTGTAATTATGCGGAATCGCGTAGACTTTATGACGAAGTGTTTGCTTCTCCAAGAAACATATTTAGCGAAATAAACAAGCTTCAGCAAATTAATTAAGCTACTTATAAATTGTTAACACGGCAGGAGATTATTTTTTCGTAAGCGAGGGAGCGCGCGCGAGTGTCGTCTTAACGATGACGCACAAGCGTTCCACAGCTAACGTATATATGGACTGACGAGCCCGGCGCAGTGCCCGCTCAGCTGGCCAGCGGCGGCTGGCGGGGGCCAGCGGGGCTACAGGTGCGCGGGCCCGGACGACGCGAACTATAGACGCAGCGCGCATCCTCGCTATATGTATACAATTTAATCAGAAGTTTGTCCGTCGCAAGAAATAAAAATATGAAATAAATTTTAAACAATTACTAAATAAATATATAAATGAATATAAATTTAAATTTGCAATACATACAAAAGTTTAAAATATTTTATTCTTGATCTAAGCAGCTCCACTACACATACCATTACCGTCACTCAAGGCATTTCATCGTCTTCATATACCTACGCATGTACAATTTCAGAAATGTCGATGGCCGTGAACAACAACGTGCTAATGCGGGAAGGCCGAGGATTAATAATGACGATCTAGAGGAACACATATTAGATATTTTTCGACAGGACCCTACGCAGAGCACGCACATCAACTCGGGACTTAAACTCGGTGTCAACCATACGCGTGTATGGAAAGTTTTAAAGGAAAATGGCCAGCACCCGTACCACTACCGTCGAGTACAGTTATTAATTCCTACCGACTTCGAGCCTGAAATGGCATTCTGCAGATGGATTTTAAACGAAAACGATGAAGACAGTGAATTCTCGAACCAGGTGAGATGGCGCAATTGAGTTTCATCGTGTTATACCAAGGTTTACAAACATTTTGTTAGTCTACAATCGATATATAATAATTATTTAATATTTAATTTTATTATTTTTATTGAAGAGTTTGTAATTGTAAGTTGTTTGATTGCTGCTGCAGCTGCTAACTGCTAGCGCCGTTATGCAGCCAGAACGGCGATATGCACAACCAATCTCTGCTTATTTTCCATACAAAAATTCTCAAAGACTATCAACAAATCTCTTGTATGTATGCAAACATTTATGTGTGTGTAGTATTTTAGAAGCACTGCATATTATTTACTAGCTTTTGCCGCGGCTTCGTCCGCGTGGAATAGTTACTTCCGACAGATATTTCGTTCTTCCCACATAGTTCCCGTTCTTGCGGGGTTTTCGGAATGGTCGAGTTCCCGTAGACTTTTCAGGATGAAACCTATGTTTTGTTTATTAATAATGAAGTACTCTTAACCAACAACATATTTATTTGTTTATATGAATAAAGATTAATATTATTATTTTGATACAACTTAAACAAATTATTTCGACAAAATTAGGTACTATAAAAACGGTTTTTGTAAGTTAATCTTAAAAGATAGACATATACTGTCGCGGACTGTTGTTTAGATCATTAAAAGAGCTATTATTCTTTAATACATATTTTTTGTGTATCTTCAACCGTTTTCACGGCGCACGCAACGGATCGCTTCAAAGATAAAATAATTTCTCCCGTTTTTTACACATTTACCACTATATCTTTGCTCCTATTGGTTGTAGCGTGATGTTATATAGCCCAAAGCCTTCCTCGATAACTGGACTATCCAACACAAAAAGAATTATTCAATTCGAACCAGTAGTTTCGGAGATTAGCGCTTTCAAACAAACAAACAAACAAACTCTTCAGCTTTATAATATTAGTATAGATTGTTTAAAAACTCGTAGAAAGGCAGTTAATTGTCAAACGAAACGGGACTCTCTGATTAGTCAGTGAACTGTTAGTCTTTCTATGAACAAACGAATAAGTTTTAATCAGTAAACAGTGAATTAATATATAAACAAATTATGGAAAATCATAGCTGTGAGCTCTGTGCTTGTGATATGTTTATTGAAATTAGTTACGAGTAGATTTTCAATATTGTCTTTTGATAATAAAATTAAATTAAGTGTAAAGTCAAGGTGTGTGACCAGTTGAGATTGAACTAAAACAAAGGTAATGTTATTCGTTTTAATAATAAGTGTTATTATAGTTTTAATTTAAATGAGCGGGTTGTGTACACACAAATAAGTTGTTTGCCTTGTTTGTTGATTACAATTTATAATAATAAGAATGTTTAAATGTCCACTGGATATTCCTATTTAAATAACTTTTAAACAACTGTGATGAACGGATCGTAATCGTTTTAAAGCACTTTCGTTGCTCAGAGGTAGTTGAGAGATTCATAAAGTATATAGATGTTAGTTCTGATCGGACTGCTGTAACATTATGCTCGAATATTATCAATGTTTAAATGAAACTAATATGTTCTGATTACTTTGCGTACTTTATTATGTTTAAAAACTATATACTCCCGACGTTTCGATTACTTTGCAGCGACCACGATCACGGCAGACATCTCGTCTGCCAGTTAAAAATAATAAAAATATTAGTTTCTTTTAAAATTTAAAACAATACTTGCGAAAGATATCATTATAATATCAATGTTTGAGAGGAGGAAATTATGAGAATGGGTATTATATTTTTCAAACATTCTGGTTACCCTACCCCAAACCTCTGTGCGCGCCTCTGATATATATTATTTATATACGTATCTATTAATAAGTACTTTATAATGATTTTCATCCGTAGCAGGAGACGTCATTTACATTAAGGTATTGTATGTACATTAAAAACTTCTGCCTTACTAATGAGATCTAAGACTTTCGCGAGTATTCATTTAAATGAAACTAATATTTTTTGGATGTACTACGCAATTTTTTATTTTTGATAAAAAACTACATACTTTAATATGTGATAGAACATACTTTACAGCAACGGTACATACTTTACTTATACTTTACAGCAATCTTATTCGCGGTTGCTGTAAAGTAGCCGAAAAGTCGGGAGTATATAGTTTATTATCAAAAATAAAACTCGTAATACATCGGAAACGTATAACATAGTTTCATTTTCTTACTATCACAATAATTATTGTATTTCTCAACAAATATATACAGTTTGGAGTTAGTGTTAGTCGTCATCTATAACATATCTCGTATGTATAATCCGTCCGTGTGTCATGTATCAGTGTTTCTCTCTGAGTTGTCTCGCCAGCCAACTCACTCCGTCACCCAGGCCCTCCCCGCTGAGAGCGCTGCTCGCACACACGTGCCACGGCTTGTCAGTTATACGCTCAAGACCCAACGCTGAAAACAACATTACAATTTACATCATGTTTACGATCAGAATACCTTTTTTCTAATTATTTGTGTAATTCACAATTTTTACGTAACACTAAAAATATATTTTGTAAGAATATAACCCAAAAAAACTCAACATTTCTCCATTCAGACAATGTCTCATGTTAATTGTAACTTTTAAATAGCAGGTATATATTATGTACCTGAGGCGACGTGTGGTGCGGAGAGCGCGTGAGGAGCGTCACTCTTGTTGGCGAGCACGAGCAGCGGCAGACGACGACCAGACATGTCCGGGTGAGACAGCATGAGCTCCAGCTCTGACCGCGCCACCACTGACACGAACACACATACTCACAATCATATACAACACGACGTATCAACAAAGCGTTTGATAGGAGCTCACCGAGTCGCAGATGATCCGCAGAGTCCACCACGAAGATGACCGCGTCACAGTGTCGGTAGTGACGCTCCCAGAGAGAACGGAGACGAGCCGCGCCCGACACGTCCCACGCACGGAAAGATACACCTCCACCTGAAACACGGCCTATAGACATCACGACTAACACGCACCTTAACGTACCTCGAGGCTGGAAATATTACTTCCAGTCTACTTCCGACTTCTATTTGATTATATTCTCTAAATGAAGATGAGGCCAGTGGCGTGCTCACCATAGATGCAAAAAAGCACTGTATATAACAACTAAACCTATATTGTTTAATTCTTACTTACATACATACTTTTAGTCATAAAATATAAATGTTTACAGACATTTAAAATACATTTTATTCACGATTTGTTAATAAGTGCCATCTATCAATATAATAACGAAACATTTTCGATCGGCCGCTGCTAACTGCTATAGCGCCCATGGGGATGAAACTGTCATATAATAATTAACGTGTAAGAAAATAATGTATAGAAAAACCGTTTAAAAATGCTACCATCTAACGAACATGGCACAATAACTTTGACACTATTTTCCGCTGTAACTTCATAGATGGCGGAAGTAGCTCTCAAATTGATTTGACATTAGGACAAATTTTAAATTATTTCAGTTTCTCATTCGCCGTTGTTTACTGTTGTTACTGTGCTGTACGTTCTTTTTCAAACATTTGACCCGGCTTAATATATTGACTCCTATTTCCACGCTTTTGACGATCGACCCCGGCTTTTCTCAATTGGATTTTGATTGCAAACCACGAATCTGGATTATTGATAATTTGAAAAATGCCTTAAGGTGCGATACTTATTTAGTAAAATCTAAAAAAATTTATTTGTCATATATATATATAAATATATACATTCAATTGCTACTCTTGTTACATCAATTTCAACCGTAACAGTTTATTGACTTCTGATAAAAACATTTCAGATCCTATTCATCAATTTCCTAAACCTGAATACCCAAATTTGGAGAAATTCGTTCAATGGAAAAATATTTTCAATGAAGACATGAAACAAAAGGAAGATTCTTACATTTATAACAGTATAAGAATATGTGATCGTCATTTTGTACAGTTTTACCATTCTTCAAGTAAACAACTCACTCAAAATGCTGTATCAACTCTATACTCAAGTAAGTATCTAAAGTAAGCAACTTCCCAAGTAGTTATAGGCACACAATACATACTACTAATATAAAAACATATAAATAATCAATTTTATTTTATAACTATAGATAATATTTTACATTATTATTATTTAACTTTAGAAATTGGTGCTCATAATTAAAAACAAAAAAATTAGATTTAATTGAATATAATGAAATAGGTATATAATGTGCGAACTTTATTACCTTTTTTATCTAAATGAAGGAAAGTGCCTACAAACAGTATTGCAAAATAACTACTTGTGTCACTTCTTTACATAAGTAAAACAAAAACAAAGTGTTCTAAATATGTAGAGATTATAATTTCACTGGATAACTACAAACCAAAAAAAGTTGTTTATAGTTTTTTATGTAATATAAGAATGGCATTGTTTAATTCAATTCAAATACAAGTCTATTTACATTCAATCAGAAACTCTAAAAGAAACGAGGAAGGAAGATACAATCAAGACAATATGTTATCATTCAATTTTAAGATTTTTAATTTAACTTTTCTTTTAATATATTTATTTGTATTTAAAATAATATTTCATTTAGCAGCATCAACATTTGAGACTGTACACTCATCACATTCTGTTGAAACTGGAAAATGCTTTTATACACAAAAAGAAGACAATGACACATCTTGTTGTCACCACTTGGATTTAAATATGAATCAAGTTCAGCTACAAAGGAGTTCTCCTAATTCCTCTCAATTATTTCCTAGAGGTAAGTTATGGGCGTATAACTAAGCTTAAAATTCCTTATGATTGGTATATTTACCTTTAAATTATAAAATTATTTCAACAAAATCAAGAAATTAAAATAGCAAAATGGAGTCATTAGCATATGCTGTTACAGGTTGACATTGGAGAAAGTGATATACGGTTATTAAATAAATTAACAGAAACACATATATAAAGATAAATTACCGAAAATGAAAGTGAAATAAGTGGCCCAAGTGAGTATCAGCAGGTATGCGGTTCTTAGCAAGTTAGTACAAATTCTTTTCATAGTAGTAGTAAGTTTTACTTATTGTTGTGGTGACTTATTAACTTTCTATGCACTTAACATATTACTAATATAACAGCTTTTTACTCCTGAGGTTGTCTGTAAGAGATCACTATAAGTGATAAGACCTCCTTTGCATACTTATGTTTTTTCTTGTCTTTTGCTTTTATTAATTCTCAACTTTACTTGTATGCAATAAAGAAGTTTATCGATCTATCTATCTAATGATAAGGCCTATGTCTAAAAATAATTTTAATATATTTTTTATTTCCAGATCATAATATTTTGTCAAAAGATTGTGTCGCCACAGCTGACCTGCTGCTTCTTGTAGATAAACTCTTTGAATCATTCAATGGTTATAGTTATCAGGAAGATGCTAAATTATATTATATAGGAGAGCATTGAAAACGAATTGGAGAATTATGGAGACATTTCAAACTGTGGGATGAAACATTACCTGTATTAAACTCAATGAGATTTGAAGTAAATAAAAATGGTATAAAAATTTTTAGTGTGGTACCATCCATTAAAAATTGGATACATGACATTCATGCCACTAGGGAGTTATTTTTTGAGTTAAATAAATATCATGGCGTAAGCAGTCTTTTAACAGGAAACTTAAATCAGGATCCCTTAGAGAATTTTTTTTTTTGTAATATTCGAAGTATGTAATGGGATCCGTAATGTATCTCCAACTTGCTCTCAATTTGTTGGAGCATACAAAACTTTACTTGTAAATAATTTAACTTCGCCACATTCCATTGGTGCAAACTGTGAACATGACAATAACAAAATTTTAAAACCTTTAAGTTGCCTTATTAATTCGCAATTAAGAGTTAGAGATACATTAAATGAAAATATAAATGTGGATTCTTTACTTAATTTGTTGCAAGAAAATGTCAATTGAAAAACCAGCAACATAATCAGCATAGAAGCTAAACAATATGTTGCTGGGTATTTAGTACATAAATGTATTAAAAATGTGTGTAAAAATTGTAAGACATGTAAAATGCAGTTGTTAAGCACAACACCGCCTGCTAATGATAACTATATTTTATTTAGAAATTACACTAAAAAATCCTGTAAGTATCTATCGGAGGTTGATGATGTTTGTGCAGTTATACAAACACTATTAGGTGAAGAACCACAAACAAAAAATATAAAAGAAAAAAATATTCTTAAAGCTGATTTATATTGTGATTTTTCGTTTCTTTCTTGCGAAACTCATAAAAACCTTAAAGGAGTTTTATTAAATTATATCATACATTTCATAATTCATAGTTGGTGCACCAATGTTAACAGGCTGCTTACGGGAAAGTTTACAAATTGTCTAAATAATGAGGATAATGTTAAAGTCCAAGCGATTACATGTTATAATACTCACAAAAAGAAAAAAATAAATATTTGAATATATGCTCTGCTTTTAATTTTACTTATTTTTTAAGTGTGCTAAGTAAATAATGTAAATAGAGGCATAACACCAGAAGTTGGATTTTTGAACCTATGCACATTAAGAACAAGTGAATAAGTTTTAATTATTAAACATTGAATTAATTTACTAACAATATTTTTTTAATTATAACCGTGAGGTCGGTGCTTGTGATGTGTGTTTATCGAAATGAATTACGAGTATATTTTCAATATTGTCTCCAAGGAAGCTGTAACATTATGCGCGAATATTATCAATGTTTAAATGAAACTAATATATTCTGATTACTTCACTTTTCTGTTTCAGTTACTTTGCAGAAATCGTGATAACGACAGACATCTCGTCTGTCCGTTAAAAATAATTAATAAATTACGCGTAGTATGTAATCCTAAAATATTAGTTTCATTTAAGTGAATACTTGCGAAAGATCTCATTATTATCAATATTTGAGAGGAGGAAATAATGAATTTTTTTTTTTTCAAACATTTTGCTTACCCTACTCCAAATATCTGTGCACGCCACTGGATGAGGTAGTCAGATGAGGAAACTATAGTTTTTATTTAATGAGATCTAAGACTTTCGTCAGTATTACAATATGTAGTAATCCGAATAATATTAGTTTCATTAACAAACTTATAGTTTTCATTATTAGCCATTACTTTCTTGATATGAACAGATTCACTTTCAAAATATGATCTACTAGCTGCGCTCCGCGGATTTCCGGGATGTAAAGGAGCCTATATGTTATTCCTGGACGTCAGCTTCCTGTATACAAAATTTTATTAAAATCGGTTCAGCCGTTTGCGCGTGAAGAAGTAACAAACATACACACACACAAACTTTCGCAATAATAATATTAGTTGTATATGTAGTATATTTCCCGTACTCTGGAAGTTCTCCTGTCGTTGTCCTACAGTAGGTACGATGCTCGCTCCCGGCCCCTGTCTCTGTCCCTCTTGTTCCGTTGTTGTTAACGTCCTCAACATGGTAGTCTTGCCACTGTTGTCGAGTCCTAACACTAGTACCGTCACCACCTTCCCACCGCCTCCCATCCACGACGACAACTTCTCTAACAGACCCATCACTGATATCTGTATATACATATTACTTGTTAGTCTTCATAACGAACACTATTGGTGGGTAAACAGGGTTGGGTTAAAGGAGATGGAAACTGGTGGGCCCAAAATGTAATAAGTTCAAAACTGATTTAAAAAATTACTTTATATTTTTTGTATAAAATACCAAAAATCTGCATAAATTCTCAATCTACAAGCGGAGAAATATGCATATAACTGTTTTTATGAAGCAATCGATTAACGATTAATTAAATAAAAAATGATTATTCGATTATTTAACTACAACATAAAAATTTCACTCCTAGTTTTAAACTTATAGTAACTTTATTTAAACTACACCATATATGTCTACAATTCAATAAAAATAACTTTTAATAACGTGTATAAATATAATAACCATATTAAATATTATTTTAAAACATTTTTTTCGATTATCGATTCCATATCGATCGAAATCATTCAGTATATTGTCTATGGCAACATGACATTGACACTTAACAATAACCAAGCCAGATGGGCAGATGCATTGTAATATCTGAGTCTGACTAATGATTTGTTTCGTGTTTTTCGATGCGTTTCAAGTGCATTCCCGATCATTTAACGTTTTCAACGACCACTGCTTTGTTTCAGGACTCCGAACCCGCCTACGTTTTACGACCCTTGCTTTCACATTGGACACCGACGATCGCCTGCTTGTTTGAATTAGAATTGTTAATTTGTATTATTTCGCCGGCTTGTGGATTGGATAATACTAAAACTATGGATCGCTGTGTGAATTGTGGGATAGCAACTAGTAACATTGTACCCCCTGCACAGTTCCTAGACGATATTTTAATTATTATTGAAGAGGAATAAAATGCGTATTCCATTAAAATTATTTGTTTTATTTTATGAGTTTTATCACATAGTTCACTCCTCCTGTTCCTTGTAAAATTCTATACTTGTTACCGATATCTGTATGTCTTTGAGTCTTTCTTGCCTTGTTATAATTTATCAGATATTATTTTCTAAATAAAATTACATATTCTTTTTCACATACTTTTAAGTATGTATATTCATCCAACTCTTAAAGATAATGCGATATAACCTCACTTTTACTAAACCTCCAATAACTTAGCTAACTGATTGTCAATTTCTATAGAATTTTCAATGAAGGAACTCTTAATTTTGAACCTTTTAATTAATACTATTTTCATGTCTTTACATTGAGGGCCCAAAATTGTATAAAATACTTTCGATCTCCTTTAATTGGAATTTTACAAAATATATAAAACTACAATAGAATACAGCTAAATCGTTTACTATTTGAAAAAAAAATTAACTTAATTTACCTGGATCTACACCTTAAATTATTTTTTCTCATAGTTATAGGTATTATTATTTAATACGTACAAAAAGGGCTCACTATCATAGTTGTACAATTTTGTTGATGCATATATGTTTTGATTAAATCAAGGAATGTTTTAAGCGATACATGATATATAGCACGTGGTATATCCATCTAGTTTTCTATAATCATTGATGCAACACATTACATTAACAGATCTTTTTCAACAAACCTAAGGCGGCCAACCGTCCCGCATTCTGCGGGACCGTCCCGCAATGCTAGACGAAATCCCGCTTTGAAATTATTAGTAAAATAGTCCCGCAAAACGTTGTATGCGTCCCGCATGTCCCGCATCCCTATTTTTCTACCACACTTCTACACAATACCCATACCACAGTCAACAGTGCAGGAACACAGATTACCTATAATAGCGACAAGCGTATCGCGTCCGCGTTAATCTCGTTTTCTTTCTTTCTTCTGAACTCATGGCGCGTAAGAGAGTATTTAAATTTAATATGGGCAGTTACGAAGATTTTCATGACATTCCCAATCCCTAACACCCCCCCCCCCCCCCCCCACCCGCCACTCACGAAAGGTTACGTCCCGCATTCAGTTTTCGGAAAGTTGGCCGCTTTAAACAAACCTCAATAACCCAATCCAATCTCACCTGCTCGATCACACTTGACTTATTTCCTCCGTCCTACATCACTCCTGCCGACTATCACAGCTTAATTAAACAAACAATTTATAATAGACTTTGCAGGTAATTAGCACCGAAGTTATATTCTTTTCTATCGACTGGCTCGTGTTGTTTGACCGGTCACCATGACGACCAGACACTAGCGACACCCCGCGGCGTACATCACAAACATATTCAATATAAACAACATATGTACACATTTTGTTATATTTCTTAAACGACAAACCAGCACTTAATTTTCTTGTCCCTATATAAAAGTCGGGCAAACGGGAAACAAATACAAATTAATTTATTGACAAAAATGTCTTCCTTCTGACTCCAATACTTGAAAAGATTCAGGCGTTTTGTTTTTAGGAAATGCCTCATGTTAAAATAATCTGATAACGACTTCATACTTTCAATTAATTAATGAAAATTAAAAAAAATGTAATAATCTCGTACATTTATTAACAATATTCTTTAATCATACAACTTATTAAATATTTTTCATATAATCACACTTTAGTACACACAGTCTCCTTGTTAGTTTCACAATTCTTAGTTTTATTCACTAGTCGAGGACAGATGACCTCATATATCTGTTCCGGCGTCCTGTCTTTAGTCTCCGGCACGGCCAGATACACGAACACGGTGTAGAGGAAGGTGAGGAGCGAGGCGAGTGTGAGCGAGGAGACCAGCCCGCCGACAGACACGACCAGCGGGAATAATAACACCTCCACGGCGTTCCCCGCACACGCGCCCGCTGTGGCGAGCATCACGGCGCAGCCGCGGTACTGACAAACACATTACATTCAGACACTGAACGTATAACGTAACGCATATAACATAACAGCAGGCAGTGTACCTCATAGTGGAACATCTCAGATAATATGGCGTAGGGGACGTGTTGCAGGCCCGCGGAGTCCGCGGCGACGGCCCCGGCGATGGCGAGGCCCGCGAGATCCGCCGCCACCAGGCCCGCCACAGACACGCGGGCCCCCGTCACCAGCGACGACAACAACAGACACGCGCCCGTCAACAGCGAGCACCACAGCAGCAGGGGCTGACACGCGACATACATATGACACGGTATACACACTGACAGAAGGTATATAGGGGAGAGTTGGTTATATCGTACTAGCATTTAAATCGTACCACCTCTAAATTTCCCATTTAATGAATATTTTTTTTTACATTGACAACGCCAAATCGTGGCCCTGTACCATCCCTCTTCACCCACTAGTTTAAATCGACGTGAGTTAACAACTGTGCACGTAATAAAAAAAAACATTTTTTGTAGGAATTAATATAAATATTGTCGTACATTCGTAAGGAGATAACTCGTAATCAAGGTAGGCTATAGTTATTCAGTTTTTTTTATTATTCCATAATTGTATACTAGATTATTGGGGGTTTTTGTTGCGTGTCTAAGTTTTGAGTTTATGCCGGATATTTGCTTTTGTTTTAGAAATGCCTTAGTTGGTTTAATCGTACCACTTGCAGTTGGTTAAATTGTACTGGTACGATTTAGCCGACTACCAACCGCAAGTACCTATAGAACTACCGCAAGTACGTATAGTAAGTACTACCTAAGGACAAAAACAAAAGTTATAAGAGGAAACGATCTCATTCCATCACCAGTAGCGATGATTCAAGAGAGACACTTGTTGTAGAACTAGATGATGATGATGACAGCGATGATTATCTTGAAAATATATGTCGAAAGTGCAATCGTTCTTACTACGATAAGAAGGGTCCAAAAGTTGATTCGATTCAATGCGTTCGCTGTAAACGGTGGCTACGTGAGACGTGGACTTCGAATTTTTGAAAACATTTGTCATGATTGTTTCCATTAAGAAATATGCACAATAATTATATTACAAATAACATTCTTGTTAACTGTTACTTTATTATTATAGTTTACTGTTTTTTTATTTGTCTCATTTTTATTAGTTATGTTGATTGACCTCATTATCATAGTATAATCATGTTATTTTACTGAGAAAGCTTATAGTTCCTTTATATAACCTAAGAGTTAAAAATTATGTTTTTATTACCTAAAAGATATAAATAATGTTGTTTTATTACTTACCTAACAGTTAAAAATAAATAATTTGATTGAGAATTTTAATGTCTTTCATTCAGTGGTACGACTTACACACCCATGGTACGATTTAAAGACTTAGTGGTACGATTAAAACGACGAGTCGGCTAAATCGTACCGATGGCAAGCCTCTATAAAAAAGCATTTTTAACAATGTTAGAATAATCGCAAGGATCTGTTCTCTTCTTCTTAGGAAGCTAAAATATGAAACTTTATTTTACATATGTATTAATTATTATCAGACGTGTTATAGTCGAAAAATTTTAGTTAAAGTGAAAAGTGGTACGATATATCCGACTCTCCCCTATATAGTGATGTAAGTGTTATATATTGACCTCACCCTTCGGCCGTATCTCTCCACCAGATACAGTGACAGTGCGGACGTGAGGAGCTGCACCGAGCCGAGCAACACCGCGTGACGAGCCGGTGATAACAACTCCTGAGTCACTACTGGGGATAATGATGGAGCAGAAATATTAGAAGGATTCCCTGTCCAATTCCGTACAATTGCTTCGTTAGTCGTCGGCCATATTAAATGTTTCGATTCATATATAGTTTCTGTATGGTGCATGGCGGTCGGTGTCATTAAAGTACTAGTAGTAGTGGGTGGTAGTGAGTCAGTGACTCTTGTTTCGTCTCTCGCTATAACGAACATTCTCTCTGCGTACTGTAGTATAGCGAGCACGCCGCACACCTCCTGACCGATCACTGTTATTGTACCGATGATGAACGCACGGCGACGTTGAAGATCACTCACTGAAAATAAAACAATCAACAGAACAAATACATACACGATCCATATTATAAATATGTATTAAGTGTCGTTATGAATATATAAATATAAAGTTTATAACTCACACATATGTCGGGCGAGTGTAAGCGGAGTCCGTACTTGTTCAGTCGGTGGTAAGGATGCGACCGCGTGGATTAGTTCTGGATGATCAGAAGACAGGCCGCGGAGACGAGCGAGGGACTGGCGAGCCTCCTACATGGAACGAAAGGATTAGTTGGCATGACTCAGAACATATGACTAGAGATACGTGTTCCCTGGACGTAGATATTATGCAAGCATTAGCGTTGCATCATCCAGGGATTGTTATTACAATCTTATATATTTAATTAGTGTTAGGAAATAGAAAGTGTTATTTTATTACTGTTATTTTATTTAATAAATACAAAAAGGAGTCGTTTAAAATATGACTCTTCCTGACATCTATTGGCGAATCTATTGGCGAATAGTAATACTACTTTTTGCTAATTGCTTTTACTAATTGATTTAACGACACAACAGCAGATGGCGTTGTTAAGTTATAGGAGTCCACGAGTGTTTGTTTTGAGATTAAACTAAGAAATTAATTATTGATTTATGGGTGAATATACGCTATTTGAATTCCATTGGTCTATAGACAAATTTTATACGAAACTTATTATATCATTGGCTCTCCATGCTTAAACAATAAAGAATATGGCATTTTATCTGGCCTACAAAGACTATTCACGATAATTATTTAATTTATATTTTTAATAATATTTTAAAGGTAGGTAGGTATACCTACTCCTCTGGCCTTCCCATTTATGAATTAAAATGAAATTATGGCTGAATACTTTTAAAAAGTACACAATTATGTTTTTTATTTCATGTGGTCATACGCTTTAATAAACATCGAAACTTATTTGAACAAAATTAAGAGTAAAAATATTTATTAATATAAAATAATATAACATTTTCGAATCATGTTACAATTCTGTCACTTCATCTGGCGGAAATCAAAGACTTAAAAATTTTTTAAAAATCTCAACTTTGTGCTTTTGATCTTAAAGAATAAATCCTAAATAATTTGAGCAAAATTAAAAAAAAATGATAATCGTCTGGCCCCTGGGATTACAAATTTTAAAATAGTGTCAAATAAATAAATTATAAATATTGAATGGAACCTGTAGCAGCACGATAACATTTCCTTCTGGGGCACAAAAAAACCAAATAGCGTATATTCACTCTTTTATTGTTTTGTGTCTTCTTAACGTGTTCACTTAAAAATGCCTAAACGAAATAAAGAAAACACAAAATAAATACTAATAATTTTTAAATACCTAGCAAAGCTCGGTAACCAGATAATCATAATTTTAACAGACAAACCTACACCAAATGTTTATAAATAACAACTTTTAGAAAAGTGCTCTATTTGGTACGCGTATTTTTCTTAGTGATTAATTTATGTTATACTTGCCTCCATTTTTCCGTTAGCGGCTAAGAAGGACGGTGACTCAGGAACGAAAGTAAATGCAACACAATGAACTAACGCTAGTAAGAGGCAATAACACAGAACTGTCCTGGAAATATATTGAATGGTTTATATGGATTGATACAACATACAAAGAAAAAAATGTAGACTCAAGATTAATTTGTCGAGTGGAAAAACTTTTAACCTGAAAAAGCATTAAGTTTACTTGTGAGGTACGGCCGCGTCCGCCGCCAGATACATGGCGAGCACTCCTGCGTTATGAGCGAGAGACAGAGCCGACACCGCCGCGCCGCGGTACTGGGAACTGCACATCTATGAATATACAGGGTGACTGGTGAATTACTATCAATATTTAAGGAGCATACTCGGTACATGATTCTCATTCGAATTATGTAAAAAAATAGGTACTTAATTTTTGACCAAATTTCCGTATAAATAAATAAAGTGTTGACACGTTCCAAGTGTTCCAAGTGTGGAAGCGTGCGGCGGCGTGCTGATACAACAACAAGCCGCCGCGCGCGTATGTGTGAGTGTGTGTATACCTAATCTGTAGGGTGTTCATACGATGCGTAATTAATTACATAACTTTTGGTTAACTTTACTTAGAAGTTTATTAATATTTATGTTATATTAATTTTTATTTTGTCATATATGATCGTCAAATATCACGTCCTCAAGTATCGATAGTAATTCACCAGTCACCCTGTTTATTGTATATTGATATAATACAGATTGTAACCAAATACTATTGCTACTTATGTAGTGTTTAACCTTTATGAATTTGAGCTCGCTTTCATAAAACAATAATTGAAAAAGACGTCTAATTAAGCAATCTGCATAAAAGTAAAAATGAAATCGCGTAAGAAAGAAATCAATGTTATCCAAAATATATTTCCAATCAAGCAGCACAAATCTATTCATATTAAAGAAAGTCATTTTTGTAATAAAAATGAATTAATTACTGTTGTGAAATGAAATAAAATTTTCCTTCTCAAATATAAAACAAAAAAAATTCTTCATCTTTTGATCACAAAGCGAAATGTTATATAAAAGCCTTCTGGTGGCGAAACGGAGTTCGCCGGGTTTACTAGTACGAAATAAAAGTCATGTCCTACGTCTAAGTTCTATATATTACTAACCTCCCTGACTAGGAGCGGCTCCAAGGCCCAGGCGGAGGCTCCGCCGAGACCTGCCGCGACCCTCGCGACTACAACCAGACCCGACCCTACACCCGACCACTCAGACCCACACCACAGACTCGCCAACTTTAGAGACCAGCACACCTAGAAAATTAATACAGTCCATGGCATATAATCATAAATAAATTTTGATAAGTGATTAACATTATGTTTTCCATTTCAATTTTTAATCTTAAAAATAATTTAAATATTTGTTAGTTTATAATTGTATGTTTCGTTATATGTATATCCAGGAGGAGGAGTGGGTATTTTGAGATACAGGTTAAACCTGTTTAAACTTCAAAATTCCTGTTGCTAACTATTGCTGTACAAACTGATTTAAACAATAAAAAAAATATTTTAATACTGTGATTTTCTCAAATACAGTAATATATAAATCATACCAACCGCGAAGCAAGCTGAAGTACCAATGAGAGCAAACTTCCGTCCGTAGAGCAAAGCCTTCGCGCTCAAAGGCACGCCAGCCATAGAAGCTCCGAACGTGGTGACCGCGGCGATGACTGCTCCCCGGCCCGAGGACTCGGACTGCTCCGCCGGGCCCTCCCCGCTCACTAGAGACACCCAGCCCACGGCCAGGCCGAACGATACGGCCGGTATATTGACTATAAACAGACAGTAACAACGATACATACAAAAGATATTATATGTATACATATTACATAGGCACTTAGTACATCGATATTAAGAATATTAGTACCCAAAGCGGTTAGAACCGGTACACGATCCGACACGCTGCCTTACGATACGGCAGTTTGTAGGGTTAGGCTGTTAGGCTGTACAGGTAGTTCGTTGATCGTAAAGTATTTGTAGAATCATCTATAATATAAACATAAATCACAAAATGTGTTGGTAAGCGCATAACTTAACAACGCCTGGACCAATTAGGCCAATTCTTTTTTTTAAATGTTCGTTGAAGTCCAAGGATGGTTCTTACGGCGAGAAAAAATCGAATAATTGCCGGGAAAACCCTAAAAACAACCATTTTCTTTTTCACATACAAACGTTTTCTAACTTAAACGTAGAATCAATTTGAGCTTTATTGCTATTATATAAAGTTCATATTAAATTACAAGCACTCACTGTTATCTAAGAAATTTAGGTGTGTTCCTAACGTCAAAAAGTAAATTTGCACTTTCTTACCGCTATACAAAGATCAAATTCAATCATATCTATCAAAAAAGTTGTGCTTTGGAGCACAGAATACGTCGTCGGAGGAGTTGATGTCGCATTCAGAAACTAAAAAAAACTGATCGCGGACCCGACCAATTTAATAGTCACAAAATATAATAATAACCATCAGTATCACAAAGCACTACAATGAAAATAGAACTGATTTTTTTTTGTTAATAATTATGATTTACATGATTAAAATTACCTACTTACTTTTAAATGCGCGATACATAAGCTGAGCTTGAAGTTTGTGTGTGTGTATTAGTCTATGATAAACTATTGTCTCTGTCTTAAAACTTAAAAGTTCAGTTATTCTTTCAAATTGTTTGTAAACAGTAATTTTTTGCGTGGTTTTGTAGGAGTACATATTCAGTTTTACTATTTGTGGCCGGAGTTATAATAAAAAAAATACCTACATAATTCATTTACCGTTTCTTAGTGTAATTTTCACATTGGTTTCTACAGGATAATTTGTATTGTGTGTTTTTTCTGAAGTGTTTGTTCAACAAGGTAAGTCAAATTATTATAGTGTTGGAAAGTTTTGATAGACCATTTTGATACTATTACAAAAGAATAGGAATAGAATAATAGTATTTTTTTATTTTTAGTTGAATTTTTGTTTCAAAACATGCCGGCAATTAGACGTACAAACTTAAGTCGCACAACCCGTAATGCCTCAAGTCAAAGATATAGAAGAGCAAGTCTAACTGATGAGCAACGTGAAACGCGGAATGAAGTTGAAAGGAATCGATGGAACCGGAGCCAACGATATAGAAGTGTTGCTTTTAACCCCTATAGAGCTGCATTTGATTATAACAGAAATGGACTACAGTACAATAACTTTTATGCCAACTTTTAAGGTAAGTGTGTTGAAAAACATTTACCACTATTGTTGACAGTTTTCAATTGCAATGGTTTATCATTTGAAATGGCTTAAAGTACATTTGTAGCTGTGTGAATTACTTTTAGTAGCCAGAAGGAATTGTGTTAAAAAAGTTGATGGGGGAAATGGTAGTGCTCACAAAGTATTTGAGTGTCACTTGGTGGTTTGAACAATTCACTTTACAATATTATATATATATATGTAATACAGGAATGTTTACCTTTTCAGATTCAAGGACAAATATATCATTGAACTTATTAGTTATTACCAGTGCCAATCAGTGACTATAAATTTTTCCAAATTAATTTCATGGGCGATTCAGGAAGACAAGTTGATCAGCGTTGTGCACACAACTATTCTGTGCAAAGACCAGTTGTGGAACAGTTCCAATTATTATTCCATCAACACAACCCACTGGTTGCATTATTCAAGACCGCATTAGATCACATGCCATCTGATAATCACAAAATTGTTATCAAACACATAACACATTTTAATGCCCGAAGAATCGATGAAGTCTCTATTGTCATTGTGGGTGAAAATGTAGATAACCGCAATATTGTTTTACACCGATGTAACAATCAACTGCAGCATGTGTCCGAAACACATCGAACATATATAAATATATTTTATCTTATTTTGGAAAGGTGAAGATGGGTATTATTTTTAATGAAGATGATAAATCCAGTTACAGGTAAATAAAGTTTTTAAGTTTTTAATGTTTATTATAGCTTTAAGTAATTTATAAAAATTATCACTAAAAATTTTTTAAGGTTCTGAAATTAATAAAAAAGTTACTTAAATGAATTATTATTCATACTGGCTTATGGTTGGAGAAGTTGAGGTCAATCACATCTTAAAATGTTGGCGTCTCTTTCACTAATATGCTGTTGATGTGAATGTAAAAGTGGAAACTGAGCAATTAATGTTTTTCAGGTTGAACCCGGCAAGAATCTGTTCAGAGGAATAAGGATATTAACTTCATTCAGATAAAAATGCAACAGATATTCCTTGATTATAGGGGAATACGAAGTTCGCCGGGTCATCTAGTGTAGAATAAAATATATTCTGATCGTAGTTTAAATTGCACATACAACAATGCTAAAAAATTCGTTACGCAAAGCATGACATAATTACTATAAATAATCAACACAGGTCTTATTACATTATAATTATAATAACGATTCATTTATAGAAAACATATTTACATATTTTTGATTTATAACATTTAATACCTTTTTAATAATAACATAAGATCAAACTTCAGCCCTTTAACACTTCCTCTCAAAAAGACTTATTGAACTGTCTGTTTGAAAACATTAACTAGAACTATGAAGATAAAAAGTTATTCTAATTTATAGTACCAGTTATCTTAAGTAAGCTAGAAAACTTAAACAGAACAGGTTTTCAACTTTTTCCATATGGACCAGTAGCTTTAGTTATCATCATTCTTTAGTGTTTTAAGGACTTTAAACTTATTGAGAAAGAGGTCATTAATAGTCTGTAAATCTAAATTATCTTTAGAAGGAGTTCGCACAGAGGAAGATGGACTATGGGTAACGTATGTAAAGAGATTATCGGCTGCGTCTCAGATACCTTCCGAGAATATCACAGTTTTTTTCCGCTTTTTTGATAACAGAAATAATAAGTTATTACTCTAAAATAAACTCTGAACCTCTGTATGTCCTTATTGTCACTTCTAAAAATATTATTTAGCAACAAGTATGTATACGAGAGACGCTTAAAGTTATCCTATAGCTGCTAATTGTAACATTATTTTATTTATAACTTTAACAAACGTAATAAAACTGTACAATTAAACACTTGTTTAAATGATGCGAAACTATTTTTAATTGGTGTATTTAATGTGTTTAGTTTTTAATAATTTTATAAACGACCAATATTTTATATCAACATTATACAAATTATATTACCTATAAAATATACATAAACTTATTTTCCTTCCTTTCCCTGTCTAATTGTGATGCTAATTTAAATCATTATATAATATTATATATTTATGTACCTAGTACTTATCTCTTTAATAGAATGGACTATTTATAACATTTTACCCGACTCATCAAACTTCTGATAACATTGATGCATCCTTTTCTCTTAATCGATTATTTTATATATTTTATTGACAAAACAGTCCCACCAGTTACAAATCATTCGAGTGACGCTCGTTTTGAAAACTGTTTTGATAATTACATGTTAATATAATGAGGACAATAAAAATGTTTTAATTTAGACATGAGTTAGTTATTTTTAAATAAGGAAATAAATCAGAAAATAACATAAAACACGCAGCTAAAACCCAGGAAACCTATCTGGAGATGTATTTGTAAGTGTACGTGTAAGCCGTAAGGGCATCTATATATATAAAAATGAATTGCTGTTCCTTGGTCTCACTAAAACTCGAGAACGACTGAACGGATTTATCTTATCATAGTCTTCGAATGTTTCGTGAGGTTCAGGGAAGGTTTAAAAGCTGAATTTTTTTTATTAATTTCCGGGAAAACCCTAAAAACAGTGCTTTTTTATTTCCCATACAAACGGTTTTTTGACATTAGATTTGACAACTAACTAATAAGTCAATCATTTTGTCGCACTTCAGAACCCGGAGATTTATGGCTTAAAGGTACCTAAACACCAAAAAAATAAATAAGACATAATTTATTTCTTGATTGAGGCAGTACGAAGTCTGCCGGGTCAGCTAGTATAAAATAAAGATTGATATTGATATAAAATAAAGATTATATAATATGAAACAAAACCTGCTTTATAAACTACCTATATGTTCAAATGTTTCTCAGACTGCATCACGGTCAATAATATTTGTTTTATCATAATGTATTACATTAAGTGTGTTAATTGAGTTGACGTCATTAAGAAAAAACGCAGAACTAATATATAAAAAATATTTTATATTAGGGCGTATAAAAAATATTTCCTTATCTCAAATGTAGGTTCTAAATATTTGTGTATTTAAAAGAAAAAAAATTCGAAAAGAATTGAAACGAAATGGTGAAGTTTATAACGAATTAATATATAATGGTAAGAATATATTCTTCGCAGACGAAAGGTGATCAGGTATCGACATCCAGATACGACATTTATTTCTGAAACTCTTACACATTCAGTTCAAAGACGTACCCTCCTTTTCCTCTCAAGCCCAATCGGGAATTGGTTTATCAATACAAACGTTCGAATAACGAGGGCCCTGATTTGAACTTTTGTTGGTCAAACATCTGTCGCAACGATCGCAAGTCAAGTCAACCAATACTATTTGTAACGTGTTGTAATGTGTTACCAGTTGGTCAATGTTGGACCAATATCAATACATACACTTCATATTGAGCAACTGCTTGTTGTAGAAGTAGGTACATATTTTTTAGTTTTGACATAGTGATGTCTGCCAAACAAACAAGATACGAACTTATCTTATTAACCAAGTATATTGTATTTCAAAAGAAAATAATATTTGAAAGAAATAAATAAGAGAGAAATCATAAACAAATCTTTTTTAATCCCTCACATAAAGGGATTGGACGTAACCTTTAATGTTTCTGAGTTCAGTAAATCAGGAGCCCGGGTGAGTGTATCAAATGATGCCCATAAATTAAGTTAACCAAATTCTTTAAAGGACATATAGTAACACATATGTAACTTAGCTTCTACAAGATCAATAAAAAACCTTTTAAACTAATTTCTTCTATAATGATCACATTAAATTCACATAATGCTATCCACTCCACAAACGTAGCTCAATCAGTCAGAATGTTTTAATGAAACTCACGTTTATAAATAAAGGTCTCCTCAGAAATGCCTAGAAAATAAGTTCCAGCAACAATCTTCCAAAAAACTAAATCAGTAAAAATTTAATCCAATAATTTCTAGAAATTAAGGTGATTGATTAGACATACACCAAAATAAAATAGATAAAAATTTATCAAATTAAATATCAATTACCAGAGTAAGGAAAGGATGAGACGAAAAACCATTATTAATTAAATCATTTAAGTTAAATGAAATTTTATAAAACTGTTATTGTTACAATTACTAAGGATAGTATTGTATCTTTTATTTAGTTGATAGGAACAGCGTCTCTTACACGAGCACGTGTGGCTTGAAAGAATTAAAGATGTAACGTAACATACACATACCTAATACCTATATTAAAATAGTTCGGATACATTTTTATATACCTACATTTCACTTTTCATCTCGAAAGTCTATTGATTAATTATTATATCAATACAATACATATTATAAAACAAAGTCCCCCGCCACGTCTGTCTGTCTGTGTGTTCGCAATAAACATAAAAACTACTGCACCGATTACCAAGAGGTTTTCACCACTCGATAGCGTGATTTTCGAAAAGGTTTTAATATATAATTTGTTAAGGTTTTGTATTGATTTGTGTGTACATTAACGATATTTGTTGAAGATGCCGGAAAAAAATGAGCCGTCTGGGATCTTTTAACGAAAATTCTGCCAAAACCCTTTGACATATAACAAAACAATGTACCTATGGTGGAATAATGTTTCTAATATAGGTCTACTGAAAAGTCCGCGACAGCGAATTATGTCTATCTATTAAAGATAACATACTATATCCATTTGACTACTTTTAAAAATTGGCATTCATGAAGCGCTTATAGGAAAGCTATTTCCATAATTAATATAAAGTCTTAGCAAAATAAATTACTTCATGTACAAACTTGCATCAGTATCAATAAAAAACTTTTTGAATTATTTAATTCGGACGTACAATTTAAAGTTATCATAAATCTAATAATTCTCAAAATTAAATCCAAGCGATAGCTCACTTTTTCACATGATCACGTCATTATTTTTGTATAGAAAATTTTATTATATTAAAAAACTATTATTTACATAAAAATACGGTATATTTTATTTAAGTTCCGACTTATTTTATGTTTAACGAAGAAAGATGATGTAATTTTTGTTTGTCTTGATTTAACTCAAAAAGAAAGTACTCAACTCCCTATATTCTATTTTAAATTTACTCTAAAGTACCCTTCCAGGCTGGGGTGGGTACCTAGTATAATATATAATTAATTAATTAATTACATTTTAATAGTTATTGGCGGACACGTATAATTCCTGATTTGAAAAGAAGAAATCTTGTGCAATTGTTTTTTTGTGATAATATTTATAGTATAAAATTTTATCACTAACATATACATATATGTTTTTAATCTTTAATATGAACGTTTAGTCCATGACTATGTTCCTGTTAGTACTTCTATACATTATAATATATCAAAAAAATACTTTTTAAAATCAAAACTCACTCAACACCACCACAGCTATCTGGATGAACGCGCACCACACTCCCTTCAAACTAAAAGTGTTCTTCACAATCATCTTGAGCCTTCTCGGTACACTGTTAACATAGAACCAATTCAAACAGATTGTCCACAGTCGTCGACAGAACAACACCAAGTAAGAACTAATAATGTATTGAACAGACCCAATATAACTCATCAGTTATTGTGACCCGACCAGTATTCAACTAATGTGTTTACGTTGAGTCTATTTCTAAGACTGCCTGTCAACTGACCGCTGATTACGGTCTCGTTTCTATGAATGCTGTCGCCATCGCTCTACACTCGTTTTTATTAAAATAATATGTGAGATCGCTCTTTATGTACCTTTAATAGTTCCTATGATTATGTGTTGTTAAACTTGTGGTGTGTACACTCATGCCTGCACACAAATATTTTACACACACAAACACACACACACATACACACAGAAATATATATATAATTAATAATTAATTAATGTTTATGTTATGTTTTGAGTTGAGGTTAACACCGTCTCGTAATCATCAACAATACGTAATCTTGTTATTTTTTTTTTTCGATATGGCTCCTATTCATAAATATTTTTCAAAAAACCTTAATTAATTCTTATTTATTCAAATGCAGTAATACGTCTACTTATAAACATTGAGATAATTATTTTTTATTTCGTTGTTTTTAGTTTGTGGTAGAGGTTAATTTTTAGGTGGTAGAGACTAGCTGTTTTCACTTATAGCTCGAACATAGGCTGGCTCGACCGGGGAAATACCACCCTCTTACAGAAAATCGGCATGAAGTAGCCTCTAATAGCTGCGTTTCGTCCGATGAGTGAGAGAGTCGGTTGCCCTTTCCTTTTCCCCCTCCTCTTTTCTCTCCCTTTCCTACTTCCCCCCCCCCTCTTCCCACATCAAGGGTGGTGACACATCCACAACATATCTTATGTCGCGGATGTCTATGGGCGACGGTACTACCTCCATCAGATAGGCCGTATGCTCAGTTGCTCCCTTTTCCATAAAAAAAAAGTAAAGTTCACGTTTTGTATAAGTATACACTTCACCCAACATTTGTGTTACCTTCCATCTACCGTCATCACTGGAAGACGAAAAGAATATGGAACAGATGAATGAGACAGAAAATACCCGTACCCGCAGACTTACATCAGTTGGTCAGTCAGTCTGTCGTCTCTCATTGAATATATCCGTCTCGTACAGGACAATAAATGTTCTGTTTGTGTACGAGCAGAGCTGTACCTACAGCTCTTAAATTTGTAAGGTCATAGTGTTGCATGATGCCTTACACGATATTTCGACCTATTTCCCAAGTTCTCTAAGAGATATTCAAATCTCACCCATTAGGAAAACTTGCATAAAGATCTGTAGCATGTTAGTATTGGAGTAAAAATAATAGGAAAGTTCCTATGTATATAGTTCTTCGCAAATGGTTTTTGATTTTAGAGAATACTCTGGCTTAGAGGTTTAAATATTCATGAAAAAGTTGGATAACAGGTGGATGGAAAATTGGTAGCGATTTTCGATTCTGTATTATGTATTATAACATCGTTGATTCATAGAGTTCATCTCTCATTCATCTCTTATTTTTATTTTTTATTATCAGTGCCTACTATTATTTACGTCACATGTTTCTGCCGCTCAGTAGGTAGCCAATACAAAATGTCTTGCTTTCCTCTTCTAGTGATTTCTGCAACGTACCCGAGTCCTTCCAGTTTCTTCAACATCACCTCAATACAAGGAACATCTACATTGTGACTCTCATTCTAACACTCGCATACAGTTGAATTAAAATATACAGAAATCTATAACATGTTTATGTTTAACTTAATTACTTTATTTATTTTCTTTTTTAAATTTCTTAATATGTTATTGCTTCGACTTTTATTGAGCCATTACATCTCATTTAAATAAAACCAGTGTATAAAATATGTTTCTTTATTTATATGCACCTATGTATTACAGTAACACACAGCATACTTACATAATATTATTTATTTTATTTAAATCGTATGTTCTCTGAATAATAATATCTTATTATACATCTTTATTAAAGCGTAGTTTCCTCGAGCGGCATTCCCCGCCAACAGGAATGTAACCTGATATCTGTCACTTTAATATTCATTGTATTTTTTTACTTATGATGCATCAGATATTCTCGCATTAATAATGGGAGAATTGCCGCCCTTTGTTCCACTGCATTGTATTTCATTATTCCTTAATATTATTATATTCATATTATCCCTACTTATATTATAAATGAGAAAGTAACTCTGTCTGTCTGTCTGTTACGCTTTCACGCCTAAACGACTGAACTGATTTTAATGAAATTTGGTACAGAGATATTGTTGACCTTGAGAAAACACATAGGATAGTTTTTATGCCAGACTTTTGAAAGGTTCTCTTGGAAACGCGATATAACCGAGCTCCACGCGGGCGATGCTGCGGGCGGAACGCTAGTATTATATATTATACATATATCTCGATAACAGTTCAACAGTTTTTCCTTGTTTAAATTAGACCGTACAGAAACCGTTAGTTATCTCTCAGTACACAAAGACAGATCTCAATATTTTTAAGAAGTCTGTATTAAGATGGCATAAGGGAACAACTAATAAATTTCTTTTTAACAACCCGAGAATTTTGTAGATAAATCTTGTCTGTTATGTAAGATTATAAGTAATGCCCGAGGATTTTTGAAATGATATTCAACAATTTTTGTAGGATATATAAAATAGAATATAGTCAGTGGTGGCTCAGTGGTTAAAAGGCCCGCCTCTCGTTGCCGAGGGATAAGAAGAATATATAATTAAGAATATTTAGACATCACTGATTAATGTTGATTTCCAAAAAGAGGGTTGATGTCAGGCAGGCGGCCGGTCGTAAAAACAAATAGCCAAAACCATTCACAACATGTTAGGCAGACCCTGGCTATAGCTGGGAAAAATTGCCAGGTAGAAGAAGAAGATATAAAATAGAATATAGAAAAAGACGAAAGTTATTTTAAAATTGTTTTTAGTTTTGAGTAAATTTAATAAATTTATAGGGAAATTGTAACAAATACCTATCATTTAAAAAAAAATCAATTCTGATTTTGTTTCTTAGATTAATGTTAAAGTAGTTTTAAGTGAGAATTGTAAAGAAACTGGTATATTGTGATCTATTATATTAGCCGAGCTGACATGATATTGAGATGCTCCAACAGATAAAAAACTCACATAAAAAGTTGAGAGCACAATTTGTTTTCTTTCGGTTTTTGTTTTACTTAAAACTCTGTCCTCCCCTTAAGTATGATTTGCAAGACAATTCATAAAATCAATGAATGTTACAAACTTTATGGGAAAAATAACAGCTGGTTCATTGCTAAGTCGATAATAACACAATTTGTCAATCTTTTTAAAATAACATTTCTTTCTTAAATACTTTTTAATAGTTCATATATCTCACTCACATCAGATTCCACTTTACCAATTTATAATTCATAGGAATAAAAATATTTAACAAATGTTCTGAACGGCATTAATATGTGTAAATCTTAATTTCTTATATCTTGCTATCAAGTTATAAAAACAATTTCCCACAGATACAAGCCACAGTACATCAGTTTAACAACGGGCTGTGAAGATCACACTAAAGAGAAAGATTGATGGTTTCGTGGCTCAAGATGTAACTACTGATTCTGTGTCATATACTTCGTTTCTTTCTATAATAAAGGTCATGGTCATGAAATTAATAGCATTACTTGAATTTCTACTGCCGAGACTCGAGACTTATTGTATACTAATAAATAAATTAACAGTCAAGGTAATAAGATCTCTACCAGTCTTATAGCCAGATAACAACATGAGTGTTTAAAAAATTGTAATATTGCAAATAAAAATAATGTATGATATTAAAAATTTATCACTTATGTAACAAATGTAAACATAATAAACATTATTTATATCATGGTGAAGGTACCACATTTATCTGTAACAGGGAAAGAAAAAGCTGTGCAATTAAGAAATAAAAAGCATCTAAATCAGTAAAAGCAGTTGCCAGTAACAGTATAATTTGTTCAACATTTGAGAGGTGAAGGAGAGAATAGTATCATAACACAAATTATGTCCTGTGGTATCTCCTCTTAACAATCAAAAATTAGTAGCACACCTTGGTTTAAGATATCATTAGAATTATACCTTAATAATTTCTGCCTCTATCGCTTAATCGTCTTTCTTATCATTATGGTCGAAAGGGAATACAAACTTTCAATCACATTATCCTTCAGGATTCAGCGTCTTGTGCTGACTGAATGAGCTTATGTAACCTAATGGTGCTAAGTACAGAAAAAGTGCTATTGTACATTATTACATATAAATTTTAATCTAAATTTATTGTTTACAGTGTTGACGATATTAAAACTTTAAATAACTAAAGTTAACCTCACATTAGTATTGTGATTAATGAATACCAAGAATAAATTATAAAAACTAAGATTAAATTTAAAAAATCTTCTTTAGTTAGTGGCGAAGAATTTTAATTTGTTTTAATATTACGATTCATTATTTCATTTTCTTTTTGTGAGTATTATAACATGTAATCGCTTGGACTTAACATTATCCTCATTATTTAGACAATTTGTAAACTTTCCCGTAAGCAGCCTGATAACATTGGTGCACCAACTATGAATTATTAAATGTATGACATAATTTAATAAAACTCCTTTAAGGTTTTTATGAGTTTCGCAAGAAAGAATCGAAAAATCACAATATAAATCAGATTTTTGAATATTTTTTTCTTTTATATTTTTTTGTTTGTGGTTCTTCACCTAATAGTGTTTGTATGATTGCACAAACATCATCAACCTCCGACGGATACTTACAGGATTTTTTTGTGTAATCTGTAAATAAAATATAGTTATCATTAGCAGGAGGTGTTGTGCTTAACAACTGTATTTTACATGTCTTACAATTTTTACATACATTTATGTACTAAATACCCAGCAACATATTGTTTAGCTTTTATGCTGATTATGTTGCTGGGTTTTAAATTAACATTTTCTTGCAACAAATTA